ATTGCATCTTCGTGCTCCCAATGCAACGGTACATGCGCGATGATCGTTACTCTCAACTCTTATCCGCAAGGTGAACTTATCTCACACCACCACACTTGGAATAACTTCATCGATGAACACGAAATAAAAGACTTACAACAGGAGAGTTGTGTGAAACAATGAGATGAAGCTAGTGTGCGACGAATTTGACAAGTTCATCTGGAATAAGTCAAAACTTGAACATGAAATTGTCTATGTTCGTTCTATGACCATTGAAATGAAAAGTTTACAACACAATAGTTATGCGAAACGACAAGATGAAACTAGTGGTCAAAGAAATTTTAAATAATTGACCGCGTGCGAAATATTTGAAAAAAAAATGTATGTTGTGGCCTGCTCTTAGTTTCGTCCGGGAAATTTTCTACATGCGACTCAGGTAACCAAACAGTCTAGATTATGTCCCTGGCATGCATAGGTGTTCCATGGATCCGGCTTGCCTGCTCCCTCCCCATGCTCCCATCCGTGCTCCCACTTCATCCTACGGTTGTCTTTTTTTTCTTTTTTCTTTCTAATCTAATCATCTCCCCCTGATTTTAAGGAGATGGAGCCGGATCTTTATTTTGTTTCAATCAAATCAAGCCACGTATACAGGAGCACGGATGGGCATACGCCGGGGAGCAGGCAAGTCTCGTCCGTGTTTCATGGGCCATCAAACATGCCATTCATCCTTCAACCAGAACCGATTCTAGTAGAAAAGAATTTAGCACCTCACCCCGCAATATTTAGCAATCATAAAAGTGGCGCTAAGGTTTCTTACCATCAAGTTTTGACCAACGATGGCCAAACTAAGTGCAAACAAACTTAAAATTGACGATTTCACCCCTGTTCGCCAACAAATTGGAAGAAGACATGTTGGGTGCTCAACCATGTTATCCTATGATGGTAGGCTTCTGCTCATAAAATTAGTATTCTCAGCATTGTCAATATTCCTTATGAGTATCCTGGCTCTTCCGACAGCTATTATTAACCAAATCAACAAATACCCAAGAAACTTCCTTTGGGAGAAATCTGGTTAAGAAAATGTTGGGCCTGCTCTTATTGCTTGGAAAAATGTGTGCAAACCAAAAACTCATGGGGAGGCTGGGTATTTTGGATGTTACTCTTCATAACAAGGCCTTCGTGTTGAAAATTCTGGACAAGTTCTTCTCCCTTGGGTTAAACCGATATGAGAAAGCTATTACTTAACAAATCTCCCTCGAATAAGAATGGAAGGTCTAGCTGGTGGAAGCAGCAAGCTTTTAAATCATTCAATCTGAATTCTGGATGCAAAGTTGGAAATGGTCAGACTATTCCTCTGGTATGACAAGTGGCTAGAGCAACCATTAATTCACAAATATCCAGAGGTTCACTCCTTTGGCATTAGTGATATATGTCTACCTCCTTGCGTCGCCCCTGCAGGCGACCCGGGGGGAAACCCTAGCCACCACGTCTCGCACCTCCTCCGCCCCTCTTCCTCCTTGCCTCCGTCCGCAGCGCCGCCGCGCGAAGCCTGGCCCGCTGGGCGGCGACGGGGCTTCTTCCCATTCTCTTCATATTGGCTGGCGCGGGACACCGGGGTCGAGAGGAGCGCCGGGCGAACGTGGGGTTCGGCGGCGCGGCGAGCGAGTCTTCCCGTGGCGCGGCGGTGGCGGCCTGTGTGTCGCGAGGTGGTGGCTGCGTTGGGCCTGCCTGATGGTTGCGGGTGCCGCGGATCCAGATCGGACCCATCTGGATCCTGTCTTCGGACTCCGTCGGTCGCCGCAGGGTGGTGATGGTCGTCACTGGCCACGTCGGACTGCTGGTTCCGGCGTCTGGAGATCTACAATGGGTCCTTCTCGATCCTCCTTTCTGGTGGGTCGAGCCCCATGGCTCTTGCATCTTCACAGGTTTTGAATCGTGGCTCGTTGCCGGATCCGGAGCAGACGAAGGTTTGGTGGCATAGGATGGGGACCGGAGAAAAGTTTGGTCGGCTAGGCCGGCCCGGCATCGGCAACATCACTCGACGCCGTTACCCTCCGAGGAGGCGAAGCGAGGTCTCTCCTATCTACCTCCGAACCCCTCCCGGACGAAAGTCTAAAATTAAGTCTGGATTGGGCGGCGGCGGTGTCTTGCGCGTCGTATCCTCCATGGAGGCGCCGTCTTGGGAGGACCTGTTGTTCGGGGGAGAAATGCTGTGGATGGTGGGCTTCGAGTACCTCCAGCATTGTCCTGGTTGGGACCTCAGGTCTTAAATGTTAGATTTGGATGCGAGGTCTGTTTGGTATTAAGCCCAGACTATCAGCCCCCCTTCATCAACTGGTTAGGAGTAGCGACAGTTGTTGCCTAGACAGTGGCTTTAGTCTTACTGTTGTATGACTTTGTACGGTCTTGTGTGAACAATTAACAAAATGGTTGCATGCATCGTCCAGATGCAGAGGCCGGGGTCCTCCTCCTTTTCTAAAAAAAATGAAGATCCAACACTATTTTTTTCACACACCTTTCATTGCTCAAGCTTTTCTCCAGTATACGGAACTTCAGACTCTTGTTACTCAACACAACAACCCTTATTAGACTCTAGAGATATGAAAATGTCAGGACCGAATAATAATTTTTTTTCTTCCATCAAGATGCGCAAATACCTCTGTATGGGTGAGGAGGCTCATGTCGTATTCAAATGGATTGGGAAAAGTGCCAACAAACTATGCACATAGGATCTTTTGGATGCTTCTAAATGACAGAGTCAACACCGGAAATCTCCTAAGAAGGAAAACTATGCATCTAGACTCTAGAGTGATATGATTTTGCTTTTTTTGCAATGAAAAGGCAGAAGAAACATCAATTCATCTTTTTTGGGATTGTGTTTTTTCACAGGGGTGTTGCAACAACATAACTCTAGCCAAGCAGAGGAGTACTTCTTAATCTGAAGCATTTCCCGCGCGAACACAAATGAAGATCAGTTAGTTTGAATTAAAGACATTTGAATTTGCTGGCATGACATGGTGCCAAAGAAACGACATACCCATCGGCTGCGCCGGGGAGGTATCGGAATCCAGGAACCCGCTCGTCCGCTGTGTAACTAATGCTAGGAGAACAGCTTTTGGAGAATCTTAGGTAAAGCTTGCCGGTACCAAACAAACGGATGGATAACAAGACCGTGCAGTTGACATAATGGGTAGGTAATTCACGTTGTTGTTTTTGTAATCATGATAAAACGATACAACAACTATTTTTGAAAGTTCACTTGCCAAATTATTTTGAAGAACAATTCATATAGCCTTTAGCATTGCTCCTCCAGTTGACATTGACTCGTTGCTTGCAACGTGGTTAGCTGAGGTTGAGCATATTACTGCTGCTCGTATTCGGATTGAAATATGTGCGCTTCTTTGAGCTATATGGAACTATAGAAATGATATGATTTTTAACAGACAACACACTTTAACTTTCTTGCAGGTCATCTTCAGAGCTATGGTTTGGATTCGTACGTGATCCTTACTTACTCCTATGGACTCCAAGGAGGCTTTGGTTACTAGGTGCAACCAGTGAGAGATGGTAGCACGGGCTATATTCAACCGGTTCGGATGACGATCATATAACATGATAGGAGTCTAGGGGGCTTATCCTTTTCATTGCCTTACCGGTTGCGATTTTGAGCATGTATTTTTTATTTTTCTTTGTTTCACTCCGCTTGCGAGCTGTAATATTTTGATGACTTTGTGCTACTTCGTGGATTTTTAATACTAAGATGGTTGCATGCATTATTATAATGCAGAAGCCGGGATATGCCTCCATTTAAGAAAAAACAAGACAGTGCAGGAAATGACCATAAGGAAGACTCTGATTAGCAGCACCGCGCTCACGGCTCCCAAGTCCCAAACTTATTACTTATGCAAGCAGTAGTTTGGATTTCGGTTGTGGTAAGAGTAGTTTACGAGAACCAAGAAGCAGCATCTTCCGGCTGTTAGGCATGGCATGGACTGGCAAACTTGCGATTTAGCAGCAGCTATAGGGGTGTTTGTTTTCAGGGATTTTTTTGTGTAGGACTAGAAAAAATCTTTTTTAAAGATTTTTTTACTAAACGGGATAGATTTTTTAAGGGCTAAACTAGTCATTTGGGATTAAATGCAAAAGACTATTAAGGAGAGTCTTTTTTGAACTTTTTGGGACTTTTTCAACAATGCTTCTCCATGCACTTATTAGTCCGCCACCCCATAATGTTGTTTGATTATTATTTTTTTATATACTAAGGGCAACATGGTTATTTAATAATCTTTAGGAAAGGATTATGGACTTTTTAGTCTTTGAAAACAAATAGGAAGTAACTTTTTAGGACTAAGGACTTTTTAGTTGGGACTAGAAAAAATTCTAGAACCAGAGAACCAAACACCACCGTAGTATGGACGGATGCTTGGTCACAAGTAAACTAAACCGTGGCTTCAAGTAAACCTCTGCGGCGACAGCAACTTGTAAGCTGACGTCCTGATATGCTCCTCTTTCTTTCTGATGATGGTTCTCCTTCTCCTGACGCGGCGTTGTCCCGGGATCGACGAATGATTGCGCCGGCTGCTCGCTTCCAGGGCTTGTCACCCGATCAACACATCCGATCCCGATCCGCGGAACATTGCACCGCATTTCCGCTGTAATCTGGGCTTGGGGGCCATGCCGCGCTGCTGTCACGGAAGATTCTCGAGGCGGCTGAGCTCGCCCGTTACTCCAACTCACTAGTCGCAGAACGCAGAGTGCTTTGCTTGCAGTTGCAGCGGGCGGGAGGAGCAAAGGCACCTACTCCTACACCCACCAGCCGTTGATCGTGAGCTGTGTGGAGGAGGCCAGACTGTAAAATGCAGGCCACCGCATTCCCCAGCTCCTCTGTTCTTCATCAGCTATAAGAACGCGCGCTTCGCCCTGATTTCCTCCGGCATTATCTCGCACACACTCACTCGCCTCCTCCGCAGTTCTTGCTCGAGCACCGCATCTGCGACATTTTCTTTCTCGCAGCTAGGATCATGGCCTCCAACTCCAAGATCTTCCGCGCCGTCGTCATCGCGGCCGTCGCCGCGTCTTCCTTCGCCGGGGTCGCTCTGGCCGCCGACGAGCCCGCGCCGAGCCCGACGTCCGGTGCCGCAGCTGTCTCCTCGTCGCTCCTCGCCGCCGTGCTCTGCCCGGCCGTGGCCTTCCTCGTTGGCAGCATGCGCCACTGAGCTGGCCGAGGTCGCAGCTGCCGCGCGTGTCCACAGGCTCGCTCCATGCCGGATTTCAGGGTGAAGATGGCCGCTTTTCTTGCGTCATCTTTGCCCGTTGTTCGTTTATACTACCTCCTTGATTTGATAGTCTTCCTATGTGTACCCGTCGATGCTGTTAGTGTTTTTTTTTTTGAGAAAGTCGATGCTGTTAGTGTCGGCTGTGTTTTTCTTTTCATGTGCTACATAGTTTATGTGTATTGATTCAGATATTTGTCAGAATTTGCTCTACTAATCATGCTCTCTGTATTGGTCCCCGTATGGATTTAATCTCTTGCTCACGCTCAGGGACTTTGTCAATCTCGTGAAGTTTTTTATGGCTTCAGAGTTTCATAAGAAACGATTATCGACACCTTCTTTTTTCGCATAATTTCTGCACGAAGTTGACCGGTTTTCCATCGGGCGCGCCGGGCAGCAAAATCATCCACTCAGCAATCCTACGAGGACTTGTTTTTCTGCATCCCAACAGACTCCCGACGAGAGTACTCGACGGTGATAATCGCCGCGGCAACTTGGGTTCTTCGAGCCGCAGAGCGCGCGCGCGCGCGCAGCCCTTGCCCGGCCGAGGTCGCATCGCAACTCGTCGCATGCCGCATCCAGCAGGCAGCAGCGCGCGGCTACAGCTCCTCGTGCGAGTCCACGCGCCCGTGCCGGCGCTGCAGGTACGTCATGGCGAGGCTGGCGTGCATCGCCGCGCCGTACGGGAGCGCGCCTTCGTCGACGAGGAAGTGCGGCGAGTGCGCGTCGTGCACCGACCCGGCCGCCTCGTTCCGTATCCCGACGAAGTAGAAGTGGGAGCCCGGCACGGCCTCGGAGAAGGCCGCGAAGTCCTCGCTCCCCATGCACGGCTCCATGGCGCCCCGGACGCCGCCGGCGCCGAGCATCTCCGTGGCGACGGCCTCGAAGTGCGCGTGCAGCCCGGCGCTGTTGATGGTCGGGGCCAGCAGGGGCCGCCCGCCGGCGTGGAAGTCCACCGCCGCCGCGCACCGGTGCACTGCCGACTGCGCCACGATCACCTCCTCGATCCGCCGCTTCAGCAGCATGAACCCGTCGTTGGAGAAGCACCGGAAAGTGCCGCCGATCGTGACGGAGTCCGGGATCACGTTGAACGCGCCGCCTCCCCGGAACCTCGTCACCGTCACGACCTGCGCCCGCAGTAATAATGTCTCAGTCGGAGATGCCATATCGCCATTGCCGTCAGGAGGGAGCAACAGAGCTCGTCGTGTGCGTGGTGCGTACCTGGGAGTCCAGGGGATCGGCCTCCCGGGAGACGAGGTTCTGGAGGGCGAGGACGACGCTGGAGGCGGCCACGACGGGGTCCACGCTGCTCTGGGGGATGGCGGCGTGGCCGCCCTTCCCGGTGATCACCGCTTCGAAGAAGCCGCAGCCGGCTAGCAGCGGGCCGGCCCTCGACCCAACCACGCCGGTGGGGAGGATCACGGTGACGTGGAACCCGAAGATGGCCTCGACGTTGTTCACGACGCCAGCCTCCACCATCTTCTTGGCCCCGGTTCCCACCTCCTCTCCCGGCTGGAAAAGAAGGATCACCGTCCCCTGCCACAAAGATAGAGCCAGTTTGTGAATCATTTGAAAGATAGTAGATGCCCCTGTTATCACTGATGGTTTGAAATTAACTGGGATTGACTCATTTCCTTCAGTCTCAGCAGAATTTGTTGTTCTCGGGACAACAGTACGCTGAACAATTGAAAATATTAAAAATATGATTTGCTTTGATAGTAAATTTCCTACAGATCCTGCTGAAGTGATCTACAATGTTTTGGACCAACTAATGGGCAGTCGCTTGAAATTCTTATCTGGGCCAGTTACTTTTTTATAGCGTGTTCAACAACGGAAATTGCCTTTGGAGCTCGGCCTCCAAATTCAAATTTCATCAAATTTCATGTTTTTACATTTCAAAAAATTCTGAAAAAAAATATAGATATACATGAAGGCATAACACACATGTGTATAACTTTTCAGGGCAAAATGTGTTGAAATGAGGGTTGTGCAAAAAAGACAAATCTGGGGCTTTTTAACACAAGATACTATTCATCCTTTCAGCCCATGGATTTGTCCTTTTTGTACAGGTCGCATTTCAACGTATTTCATCCTGAATTTTTACACACATACACATAACATACTTGTTTACTTGCACAATTTTTTTCAGATTTTTTTGAAACCGAAAAGTTTAAATTTTGCAAAAAAAATGGCCTCCATGGAGACCGAGAGCCAAACGTCCGTTCTCGTCCAACAAGTGGTTTACTCTTTGATTAAGAAAAAAGAGACCGAATAATTAGTCGATTTTGAGTGACATAAAACATAAAACATAAAATATTCATTAAATATAAACAGCGTGGTAGAATGAAAATTATCATTTGTGTTTGCATGTTCAGGTGGGGTTTTTTCCCTGTGTGTGGTTGCATGTTGTGGTGGGTCTTTTTCATGCTTGTTGCATGGTGAGGTGGTATGCTTCCATGTTGAGAGAAATAGGTTGGTGGGGGCTAGCCTTCGATTGGGGCTCTGAGGTTTTGATGGTATTTGTTGATACTCAGCACGTTGTTGGGAAAATGTTTTGCAATATATATGTTGCAACTTGACGTGGGGTTTTCTATATGTGTGATTTCATGTTGTGATGGTTTTTTTCTGTGCATGTTGCATGGTCAGATAGCATGCTTGCACGTCGAGAGAAATAATTTATTTAAGGCTAGCTATTTAGATATACAAGATTTAATACATGTGGTGATGTCACCTTAAAAATTAAATGAACAAGAAAAATAAAAAATGTAATATTAACTTTTCTAAGAAAAATGAATTAGTGGCATTGATATTATCCTTAAAGATGAAAGAAAATGAAAAATAAAATAAATTTTGCACATAAATTATGTTTTTCATAATATGCAAAAAGTACATAATAGTGGATTTTTCTTTAAAAAAGCAAATTTGCAAGGAAGGAATGAATTAGTGGCATTATTTTACCCATAAAGAAAGCTAATGAAATAAAAACTAATACATAATAAAAATAAATTTTCTAAGAAATAATGAATTAGTGGGATTGGTATTACCCTTGAAGAAAAAAATACATACAAATTTGCACTAAAATTGTACTATTTGTAATATGCAAAGAACAAGCATATAAAGAGTGCAATTTTACTATCGCAAAAAATAAAAGTGAGGTTTTCTAAGGAAGAATGGATTCATGGCATTGTTATTACCCTTAAAGAAGAAATAGCGTAAACAAATAAAACAAAAATAGAAATTGCACATTTCATAATATGAAATAATTAACATATAATAGTGAAATTTTCACACTCCAGTAGAATTCACACACATATTGTATAGTACTTGTGTGTATACACATACATTAAAAAGAAGCCATTTTCTAAGAAAAAATGAATCAGTGTCATTGATATTGCCTTAAAGAAAAAAAAAATCTTGCACATAATTTGAACAGAAATTGCACTTTTATAATATGAAAAAATAGACATGGAATAGTGAAATCTTCACATTCTAGTGTAATTAACATCCATATTGTACAGTAATTACATGTTTACACTTACACTCACCCAACAACCAAAAATACCCAAAAAGAAAAAATGAAAAAATCGCACTGAAAAGAAAAAAAAAGGCGAGCACACATAAAAACAAACAAAAACAAGCAACAGATAACGAGCTTCAAGCCCAATAAGAAAATCGACTAAGACCAGACCAGGTCCTGTCGTAAATTCAGTCCAACCCATCATGAAACAGTGAAAAAAAAAGACAACACAAATCTTGACACAAAGAATGGAAGGACAAAGATTCGACCAACCCAAATTAAAAAAAGGGCAACTTACATATAGCTAAAAGTGATAATGTTTGTCATGATATCAGTTATTGGGGCATGTCGCGGAAAAGCAAAGGGCCAAAAAGCATTGCAGCTGGGGTGGAAAGGATCAAGTGGGTGTTGCAAGAAGCTTTTGCAAGGAGCTATGGGTGGACAATGAGAATCTCGAAAACACACACTTGATGAATCAGTATCCTAGTGACAGTAATAATGTAACTCTGTTTCACTAGGAGAGACAAAACCTCTGGAATCGATGCCATGCCAAATTAAGCTTGCCACTTCTACCGCTGCCTCAGGCTAGTCATAGTGGGAGTAACTTAGCAAGTAACATAGCGCATTTCGAGAAATTTTTACTTATGTGGCATGTAGTTAATGAGAAGTGGTAACATAATATGTTACTGTAACATAGCGTTTTCCAAGACAAGATGAGTCTACAAGCTAATTAATGAAGTCCTTTATGACATTACTATTATGTTACTTTACACTATGAAGGTAATAACTTAGACTAGTGTCATATGCATGACACTAGTATAAGTTACTCCTCACTATAACCAGACTCAAGGGCCAAGTCAAGATCATTGCAATATATCCCGTTGGTCGAGCTAACACTGCCCGAAGCCGCGGGAAAAGAAACAAAGCTTCTTGTGGCCCTCCTCGACCCACAGACTCCCTCGACGCCAGCCCGTGGGTCACTGCAAAGGTTGAAAGAGACGTCTGACGTGTCCCATTGAAAATGCTACGTGACGGTCTACCAAGTGTGCTCCGTCAAAGTTTATAATCAGCGGTGCAGTGCAGGCCGACTGCTCGAGGATGGTCCACGATAAATGATTACAAAATCATCCCGTCCATTACCATTGGGAATTCAAAAGGGCTGCTCGATGAGACAAAAGCGGATCTTGACACTAGATCATCTTTTGTTTCTTTGTCGAAAAGAGGCCGTCTCGTTGCTCGAAAGAAACAAAACCGGTGAGATGGAGAGGACGAGGGGGCCTTTGAAATGAGAGCGAGTGATCTTGCCAGAGCCTGGAACAGAAATATCTGAGGAATCCGCCCGGAAAAGGACGGCGCAACAAACTAATGGTGCTGCCGCTAACTGTTTCTGAATAGAGCCGCGCATGGCCCATCGTGCGAAATCTGTTGAGCGGCCGAGTCCAACGCTAGCTGATTAATGGTTTCGAATCAGGCAGTTGGCAGCTAGAGAATCGAGCTGACTGCTCCATGGTGAGTTGGTGACAGTTTGTTCATGGTAGTCAAGCAGCAGGAGGAGGAGGGAGGGACAGTGACCTGCAGGTCGTTGCGGTGCTCGTGGAGGATCCTGGCGGCGCCCAGCAGCATCGCCGTGTGCGCGTCGTGGCCGCAGGCGTGCATCTTCCCGCCCACCTTGCTCCGGTGCTCCCACTCCACTTCCTCCTGAAACGGATCAAACATAGCCAGGGGTTTCACTCGGTGCGGGAATGCCCGACTCTTTTGTTGCTTTGATGCACTGTGAGTGTAAACTGAAGCGCCGCATGTTTCGGAATCCAGAAGCACGCCGAGGGGCAAGGAAACGTGGCAAGAGCATGGGCGCGAAAAGTCCTGTGGCCTCGGCAGCAGGGACCGCGCGGCACGTACGCACCTGCAGCGGGAGCGCGTCCATGTCGGCGCGCAGCGCGACGAAGGGCGGGCGCCCGGTGCCAACGGCCGCCACGACGCCGGTGCCGGCGACCGGGTGCTCGTACCGCACGCCCATGCCGTCCAGCTCCCTCCTCACCAGCCTGCTCGTCTCGTGCTCCTCGAACGCCAACTCGGGCCGTTCGTGGATGGCCCTCCTCACGCCGGCCATCCACGCCGCGAACTCGGGCCGCTTCGCCCGACTCAGCACGTCGGCGCCGCCCGCCTCCGAGCCCGAGGCACGGCACCACAGCGCGGCGACTACGGCCAGCAGCACGGCGCGCGCGTGGACGCCCATCGGACGGCGGCGCGGCGTGGCGATCGGTCGAGGACGAACAAAGCCGAGGCCGGCGGCTTGCGTTGCGGGTGGGTGTGGAGGCCGCGCGTGCGCGAGCCGAGCGCGCGTGTGGTGCGCATATATACGCGTGCGCGACCGCGACGTATATCGTTTTTGTATGGCCCTGTTTCTTTCTTCCTTTCTTCGCCGGGTGCTGCCGTGAAGCGGACGGTAGTTGTGCGTGCCTATCTTGCGCACGGGGCAAACGTGCCTGAGGGCGACGTGCCGGCGCGCCGCGGCGGCGAAATCGACACATGTGTGAGGGAAGCCATGGATGGACGGAGCATCGGCATCCACCATGGGCGTCCTCGGAGGCTCGGGAGCTTGACGAAATGACGACGAGATCGTTCGTGCGAGCTCGGCCACGGCCGGCCGTCGTCGGTCGTGGACTCGTGGCGGGACACGGCCCAACCAAATTGAATGTCTCCCTTGTGACTTGTGAGTGACTGGCTAACCACTATAGCCCAGCTCAATACGATCGAAACGCGCGGATATGCTCACTCCACATCCTCCGCGTGACCTCGTGGCCAAGCTGGCGACTGTGAAGTTTGACGAACCGGCTTCAAGCAGCGATCGTCATGGTCGATCGTGCCTGGTAAACTTCGCCGGCACTTGCAACGAAGTTGACATGTCCGGGTTCCCATGGGGCCTCAACAAGCTGGTGCGAAAAGACGCTTCAATCTGCGAGAGAGGAAACCACAGCTATCCTGAATTATTGAGACGATGATGCCTACTGCCAAGAAATCACAGTACAACAGATAGTACAGATTAGATTAGACCAGACCTAGTCTGACCCGGGTACACTAAGAAACAGCATCAGTAACAAGACCACAATAGTGGCAGGCTGCCAGGGCTGGTCACGTTTATCTCGTTGCCCGTACCAGATGTGAAGGCTCGCAGCGAAAATGCAGCGCCATGACATCACAACCGTGCGCAGTGCAGCTGTCCAGTCCAGGGCATTCACGGAAGATGTCGCGAGCACCATGGCGTCCACCGCAGTAAGGCCAACTCCACCACGCGACTCCAAACGGACGTCCGATTTGGCCGGATTTTATCTCTTTGGGACGGCAATGGGTTCGCCCATGTCCGCGTCTGTCTTTTGGGTCGTGGTTGTGTTCAACATGCGGCCGCACCCAAATCATGTTCGGGGTGAACGTGGTTAAAAAAAACAGAAAAACTTAAGTAAAATGCCTAAAAAAATAAATAAACGCAGTTAAAAAAACTTAAAACATAATTTAGGGGTCACTGCCACAAAACGGCCCAGTTTTACGGTTCACTTAAACGGCCCAGTGCCATAATTTACATAAAAACAAAATAAAAAAACGCCACCCGCGCGCTCCTGCCGTGGCCGTCGCCGTCTTCAGTGGCCGCCGGTGTCGTCGTCGTCGTCGCTGACGAGGTCGACGTAGTCCGGCGGCGTCCACAAGTGGGTCGGCGGTCCGTGGTGCACGGGGGCGACGTGGTGGAAAGTGGCAGGTGCCTGCACCACATCCTCCCGCAGCGAGGCGTCCCGCTCCGGTGACCGCGGCGGCGTGGGGCACCAGTCCACTCCCCCCATGGCGGCCGCCATCTCCGGAGCCGTGCATGACCAGCTCCAGTGCTGGCCCATCAGGCCCGGGTGGAACGCGGCCACCGGCGGCTCCTCCATCACCTCCTCCTTCGCCACCATCTCCAGCTCGGGGATGGCGACGTCGCCGACCGCAGAGAGGGCCGTCATCTCCTCGAGGCCCTCCCATTGGCGCTCATCGTGCGTGCGCATGGAGTCCTTCATGACACGCGCCATGAGACGGGCCTCCTCTTCCGCTGTGATGCGAGGAGGTGGAGGTGGCGACGGAGACGGGGAAGGCAACAACATGGGCGTGAGGCCGCGCACCTCCCGACATGGCCACCGCGGCCCCGACACCGTGCCGGCGAAGTAGGACGCGCGCCGCATGTCGTGCTTGTCCTGGAGCCACGTGTACCCAGAGCACGGAGTCGGAGGGCGTTACTCTCGTCGTAGTAGAGGCCGTCGGGGAGGAGGCGGCGGCGGCGCTCGATCTCATCACGCTGCGCACGGCCGCTCATCGGCACCGGCGGGATCGGGACCCGGTCCACGGAGAGGTGCCGGTTGTTGGGGAGGTGCACGTCGCTCCACGGGACCGGCGTCCTCGTCTCCCAGTACCGCCAGCACACGTCCACGGCCAGGTACCGTTGGTCACGCTCGCCGGCGGCCCTAGGGGCGATGGTGAAGGGGGCAGGCGCGGGGGCTCGACTCGAGGCGCGCGGTGGTGATGCGGGCTCCTCCTTCACGGAGCCGCGTCGGCGTCCCGAGGAGGAGTCGGCCTCGCGGTCATGCTTCCCCTTGTGGCCATAGTTCCATAGCCCCATGGCTGCGGCCGGCCGGCGAGTTTGAGGACGGGGAGCGGCTAGGGTTTGTGGAGTGTCGGGTTTCGAGGTGGCAGAGAGGGGCCGGAGTGGGAAGTGTGGACGGCGACTGTTCCACGGCTTCCCATTTGAAGAAGTACGACGACCGTTCGCTGGGCGGATGACAGGTGGGGCCACCTGCGCGTGCGCATTGATGTTGGCGGGTGGGAGGTAGGCGGCCGCCTACCATGCGGCCCGACGTGGACAGGCGCGCGTCCGTTCGCTGTCCGCCACGACCCAAACTCAGCGCAAGTTTGTGTTTTAAATGGGTCGGCGCAGACACAAAGCAAACCAGATGGGTCCGGACCGTCACACGCTGGGCTGCCTCGTTTGTCCCTTTTACGTCAAACGAACGGGGCCAGACGGAATGGGGTCGCGCGGTGGAGTTGACCTAACTCACCGACATTTTCACCAGGTGACGAAGCTATGTATCTAGGGTAGGGTCATAGGCCTGACCTAGACACCCTTCCCTAGGACAACATCTTAAAACCAGAAGCATTCAAGGGATAGCATCATCCACTCGACTACAAGTCGTTCCACTCGGAAGATTTAAGGTCACTCGACCGCAACAATTATCACTCGATGGACAGAAGACCTAAAGTCACTCTGCACGACAACAGTCGGACGTTTACTTCATAGACTTAATAGACATTTATGTCACTTAATTACTAGCATTACCAGTAACGCCCCTTTCTTAATGTACCTTAAACCCTTTGTAACGTGGGCTGGCTGGGGTCCTGGCGCACTCTATATAAGCCACCCCCCTCCACTGGCACAAGGGTTGGCACCCCCTGTAAACACACACTTACATAATCCAGTCGACTGCCTCCTGGCACCAACACGCAGGGCTATTACTTCCTCCGTGAAGGGCCTGAACTCGTAAAACTCGTGTGTACAACTTCGCCATAGCTAGGATCTTGCCTCCTCATACCTACCCCATTCTACTATCAGTCTTAGATCCACGACAGTTGGCGCCCACTGTGGGGCAGGTGTCTTAGCGACTTTCTGGTGGAGTTGCAATTTTTCCGATTTTCATCATCATGGTTTCCGTCGGCGGACTGGTTGAGGGCCGCGAGATCCGTCTCGGCGCGCTCGTGTTCATCGCCGACGATTCCGCCTGGCTCCTAGAAGCTCCACTCGACATCGATGCGCTCCCCGTCCGCGGGGCGACACACTTTCGTGCGTGCTTTCGCGGCGTCCTTCTTCGGCAACCGTCAACCCAATATCGGTCGGTTCCTATGGTGTCCTCATCCCCCGCCACTCGCCGACACAAGTGTTTCAGTCAGTCACGGCTCTAGCGGTGGGTGAGGCACGCGGTGGCCCGCCAGTCGGCCACCTCACATGTCATGGCAATCGAGCCCGACGAAACTCTCTACGCCCTGTTCGACTGGCTCCGTCGAGACCGCATCCGAATGTGACAGCAGCGATCCCGCGACAGAAGTCTTGATGGTCGACGGACCACCTAGTCCTCCTGGCTTCCCCCGCAACAACGGTGGCGATGGCAACGGCGATCCGTCGCGCGTCCATGAGGAGTACCGCCCCGAGCCCCTTTCTTCGCAGCGTAGGGAAGAGCTTCGCCGCCGCAACATGGATGCACTTCACACTCCTATCGTTGGAGAAACCACTGAGGCCCGGGCCTTGGAGGAAGCGCGCCTGGCCAACTTGGCTGAGCGCACTCGACTGGAGAACCTGCAGCATTCACTCGACGAGCGTGCTCGGCAGCGGATCCCTGAATCCAGTCGACGGCAGCTTTTTCCGCTTCAAACTCAGGTATACTGCACTTCGATCCAAAATCTCACAGTCGCAGCCCGAATAGCAGAGTCGATCCAGTCTTCCCAGTCGAAGGCAGGCAGGGGTTTGATGCAGATCCGGGCCTTGCTTCGAGCAGCTGGAGAACAGAATACTGCAGTATCTCAGTCGCAGAATAGGATTCATAGCAGGTCTGTGATGGCGGACACAGTCCAGTCGGCTCACAGCCCAAGATCGCCTCCGCGGCGTGAAGGACGTGGGCGCCGACAGGATCAGTACAGAAAATGCGAGCAGTATGATCACCGACTCGACCATGGTGACCGTCATCGAGTGCCCACGCCTCCTTAGAGGAGTGGGTCATACGTGCCTTGGCGGCAGGATGACAGGCGCCCCCACAGCGGCGAGCGAAGGGTACCAGTCGACCCAAGGGAGCCAGACTTTGATGCGAGATCTATTCTCGTTCAAGGTCTGGTCGACAGGAACAAAGCGCATAGAGAAGGTCATGACAGAGATTATCCGACTGGCAGCAGAGTGCACGTTTCCGGTCCCGAGTGTTTCAGCAGAGCCATCAGGGCCGCAGTGATTCCTCCCAACTTCAGGTTGGCGACTGGAGTCAGCAAGTTCACCGGTGAGTCTAAACCTGACACTTGTCTTGAACATTACCGAGTGGTTGTGCAAACTGGTGGTGACAATGATGAAGTGGCAATGAAGCACCTCCCTCTCATGTTGGAAGGCTCAGGCAGGGCGTGGCTGAATCAGTTGGCACTTGGGAGCATATACAGTTGGGAAGAACTCGCCAGAGTGTTTGTTAGAACTTTTGAGGGTACTTGCAAGCGACCGACAGGGTTGACAGAATTGCAGTGTTGTGTACAAAAACCGAATGAAACCTTGAGAGACTATATCCAAAGATGGATCACGTTACACCATACAGTGGAGAATGTGTCAGATCACCAAGCAATCTGTGCCTTCAAAGAAGGCGTCAAGTACCGGGAGTTGAATCTGAAATTCGGTCAGACGGGAGATATGACTCTGACTCGGATGATGGAGATTGCCACCAAATACGCTAACGACAAAGAGGAAGATCGACTCCGGAGTGGCAAGCACAAAACAGTCGCCCAGGATACCGGTGGAGGTACTTCCAATCGGAAATAGAAGCGTAAGGCCGAGCCAATTGCTCCTGGTGAGGCCTTAGTTGTGGCTCAAGGAAAGTTCAAGGGGAAGCCCAAAGGGCCCTGAAACCCCAAGAAAGTGAAAGATCAAGACGGAAATGATGTGTTGGATTTGCCATATCACATTCACACCAAGAAAGATGAAGAGGGTAATTTGATTTATCCCAAGCACACCACTCGGCAATGTCGACTCCTGATCCAGCAATTCCGAGAGAAGCAACCCAAGGAGAAGGAAAAGGAGTCGGACAAGGATGAGGACAAAGAAGAGGATGATGATGGTTTTCCCAACGTCAACTCCACTCTGATGATTTTTGCCGATGTTGAGAGCAAAAGTCGATTGAAAGTTATTAACAGAGAAGTGAACATGGTTGCTCCGGCAACACCAAGTTATTTGAAGTAGTCCCAGACTGCCATCACATTCGACCAGTCTGACCATCCAGCACATATAGCCACCCCTGGGAGGCAAGCGTTGATGGTCGACTCAGTTGTTGAAGGCACTCGACTGACTAAGTGCTGATGGATGGTGGTAGTGGCCTGAATATCCTTTATGCCGATACCTTGAAGGGAATGGGGATTCCGATGTCCAAGCTCAGCGAAAGTAATATGAGTTTCCATGGCGTTATACCCGGCAAGAAGGTTGAATCACTCGACCAGATCGCCCTTG